CAGGACAGGGGAGCGTAACATCAAGGTGGACGGCGCAGGAGTGGCCGTCCTACCGCTGACCTGTAAGGTGACGGCGAAGGTCGGCGAGCCAGGTGTCGAACTCGATCGGCTGACCCTCCGCGTCAAACCGCAGCGTAGAGTCCGCCATCAGGTGCGATGCAGCTGCGGTGCAGTGCGGTGCAGAGAGGTGCAGAGCGGTGCAGTGCAGTGCGGTACAGTGCGGTACAGTGCAGTGCAAGGCGGTGCAGGGCGGTGCAGTGCGGTCCAGGGTCAGCGCGGGCCGGCTGGAAGGCGAGGCCGGCTGGGCGACGGGGCTGAAGCGGCGACGGGGTCGGCTAGGCGACGGGGCCAGCTACCTGGCAGTGTCGCCTCGGCGTGGTCGGCTACGCGACGGGGTCGGCTTCGGGACAGGGACGACGACGGGACGGGGCCGGCTAGGGGAACGGGCCAGTGACAGGACGGGGTCGGCTTCGGGACAGGGCCGGCTACGGGACGGGGCCGCGAGGCCGCTGGTCGACGGGGCCGAGGGGCCGCTAGGGGACGGAGCCGCGAGGCCGCTAGGGGACGGGGCCGCGGGGCCGCTGGTCGACGGGGCCGAGGGGCCGCTAGGGGACGGGGCCGCGGGGCCGCTGGTCGACGGAGCCGAGGGGACTGCTAGGGGACGAGGCCGCACGGCCGCTAGGGGATGGGGCCGAGGGGCCGCTAGGGTACGGGGCCGCTGGGCCGCTGGTCGACGGGGCCGAGGGGGCTGCTAGGGGACGAGGCCGCAAGGCCGCTAGGGGATGGGGCCGAGGGGCCGCTAGGGTACGGGGCCGCGGGGCCGCTGGTCGACGGGGCCGAGGGGCTGCTAGGGGACAGGGCCGCGGGGCCGCTAGGGGACAGGGCCGCGGGGCCGCTGGACGACGGGGCCGAGGGGCCACTAGGGGACAGGGCCGCGGGGCCGCTGGTCGACGGGGCCGAGGGGTCGCTAGGGGACGAGGTAGGTGAGACGGCTAGGATCTATGGCTGAAGCGCTGGTGGGCGGAGGGGACCTAACTTACTCATGATACCATATCAAACTGAAAAAATGAATTAGAATGTGAGAGTACAAGGCAATATAGGCTAGTGTATTGTACCCTCTAAGGCACAAACCTATATAGTCTACAATAACATACTAAGTTATGTTTGACACGTACAAGGGAAGACGACACGTGGGTCACTTCCGACTCGCTTCAGAAACACTCGGTGCTCAAATCATATTTGACCCGAAAATGTGTTCCCGATTTTGACCACCTTCCTTAAGAGAGGGGGTAGTGTAAGGAATGTTATTCCTTACCGGGTTGTACTGCAATCGCGTACACCCGAACTCTCGGAAGACCAAGCTCGGTCCGATTCCGACGCAACCCCGAGGCGGGCTCGCGCCGCCTCCGGCCCTTTCGACCGCGCCTGGACCCAGCCAAGCCCTCCGGGCTCGTCGCCTAGCTAGAGTTCTCGCTATCTAATGCTGGGTTCCCATTCTTGCACTCGTGATTATGACTCCGTGCACTCTCAGTTATTATTCATGACAAATGGCGTGCTCTATAACGTGCATCCCGCTAGCCTGTACTTTTCGGGATTACATGGCCGAAACGGGTAACTGTCAGGGCTGATTTTATCAGACTGATTGTCTTAAATTTCAGACCAATTTTTTTGCCAATCCTGATTTTTCAGACTTGCCATTTTCTGAATGCTGAACCCTTCAGAGTTATATGTTTTTGAATCCTGAGAATCTCAGACTTCGCAGTTTGCGGATACTGAGTTTTCAGAGCGCAGCGCGTACGGACCCTGAGACAGATATACCGATACTGCACCTATCTGCCCTCACCAAAAAAATTCGTCCAAGTCCCCAACAGCCAGAGTCAAGTCCTTTCACATTCACCCCGCCCCGCAACCTAAAAAATCAGGCTAAGTCCTAGCAGCCAGAGACAGTTCCCACCAGCGCATTTCTTCCCTACACGCCTTGCAGCCCCAGAAATTCGACTAAGTCCCCACAGACAGACACATTCCTCCGACACCACCTGCGACCCTGAAATTTCGGCTAAGTTCCGATAGCGAGAAATATCCCTCCCTCAGCTCCCGCAACCCGAAAAAATCGGCTAAGTCCCTTGCAGCTATAAAAAAAAATCCTCCCACAAACCCCCGCAGCCCGCAATCCTGTTTATTACCCGAATTTTGCGAAGTTCCTAAAAGGGGTAACAAGAAAATCATTCCTAGCCTGACTGAGTCATCGACTATATCTGGCTGGCGAATATTTTTTTTGCCTGATTTCTCAGACGATGTGAAACTAACTCTAAAAAAACACATTGTCCACGGATCAATTGAGGGTGTGTTCCTACGAGACACTATGTCAGGCAACTTCGTGTTATGGGAGATTTTGCCAGTCAAATTTGCCCGTCAATAACAGTTTTGATACGAAGTGACGTGACTTTGTGTCGCTTAGGAACAGGCCCTGAGAGAGAGGATTCGAAAAGGAGAGGGGGGGGGGGGGGGGATCGATTCCGAGGGGGAAAGGGGGAGGGAATCAAAACCGAGGGGAGAGGGACGGAGGGTGGGGGAGGGGGTAGGGGGAACGAAATGGAGGGGAAGGGGGGGGGGGGTCGAAATAGAGGGGAGGCGGGGAAGCGAAATGGAGGGGAGGGGGGAAGCGAAACGGAGGGGGAGGGGGGGAGTTCGAAAATGGAGGGGGAGGGGGGAGGACCGAAATGGAGGGCAGGCGGGAAGCTGTGGAATTGGGTGGTGGGAGAAACTTCGTGCCATTGCAGCGCCCCGGTTGATCGATCGTGGACGTGAATCACTTGCGACCATCGAATGGTTAAAAAACGTCGAAACGATCGCAATCGATCGTGACCATCACATTTTGAAAGACTTTCAGTTGACCAAACGGGCAGCTGTCATGATTTTCGCCTAGTAGGAACGACTGTTATTAGAATGCGGAATTTACTCTTAGTCGAGTGCAACTAAAAAACAAAGGTGAAATCCTCTCGTTGCCAAATCAGTGTTTTTTTTTATACGACCCTGATGAAAAAAAAAAAAAAAAAACGCGAACTTTGCTAAAAGACACTGAGGAATCAGCGTAAAATTTCTTTGAGGAGGCTGACAAAACGTTTCTTTTTTGAATCTGACACTAAGCAATCATGGTCCCCTAAAACCAATCGTGGGGCCTGATGTGAACTCTGAAAATATAAGATTTCGACTTGGGCGCAGGACTCTGAGTCAACATTATGAACCCAGAGTATTTCAGACTCGTTGATTCTTGGACACTGAGATTTCATAGTAGCGAAAATTTGAAAATGGCCCTTCAGATTTGGGATTTTTTTTGGGGGAAGTATATCGGCGCTCAGTATTAGGGGCCTCGATAACATGTACGGTCAGTAATACGATATGAACAATAAGAATTAGTGAGTTCGCAACATGTTTCATCAGTCGAGTTCCACCGTTAGTCATAAACTATATTAAAAAGTTCCACGAATAGTCAGTAGAAGTAACCCCCGCCCGTCTAGGAACGTTTTCCCGCCCGCGCCAGCCCAATTTTGTCATCATTCTGGCTGGCGCGATATTTTTCCCGAGCTCCAGGCGCAGTTCGAGCGAAAACGCAAAATACCTAAATTTAAATTCATTGAACATTGGTTTGTCGAGAAACACGAAAACACGAATTTGTTTCAAAGCACATACTTTCGTCCCAGAGAGTAGCGCGTCCCGCAATTATTAAAAATGGCGGCTTTGTCTCGACACGATTTACGGCCCCAAAGAAAAGTCAAGCCAAAAACTTGTCATTTCCGAGTCGCCCGAAAGCAATAACATATATAGATAGCTATGGATGTTTGTTTTTGGGAAATGAATATGTTTAATGGCGCGTCAATGTGCTCTCAGAACCGCATTTCATTTTGTATTGATTTCAATACAACAAATCTAATAGTGGTCTGTCGGTTGTCTTTCGATTTTTTTCAACAAATGTATTACCGGAAAAGTTTTCCGTCGAATTACGACTCTACAGGTCTTGTCATTCTCGAAACAAATTAGCGCACGTGCTCTACAGTTTTAATACTCACGCCTCATTGGCTTAGCACCGATCCCGGATAGATTTGCCCTTTCGTGTCAAATGTTTTCGTTTTTTGTGCGTTTGTTAATGTTTGAAAATTTTCGCACCCGATGTGTGGCCCGCTGTGGCCCAATTAGCGTACGTAACATAAATGCGCAAGGTCTCAATTTTGAAATTTTCTGCGCGCGACGTCCAACGGTTTTTAAGTTGGAAATACTTTACCTAGTTCTCTCGAACTGCGCCTGGAGCTTAGAAAAAATATCGCGCCAGCCACAATGATGACGAAATTGGGCTGGCGCGGGCGGGAAATGATTCCTATACGGGCGGGGGTTACTTCTACTGACCATTCGTGGAACCTTTTTCCTGTAGTTTCTGACTAACGGTGGAATCCGATGAAACATGTTGAGAACTCACTAATTCTGATTGTTGATATCGTATTACTGACCGTACATGTTATCGAGGCCCCTTATACTGAGCGCCGATATACTTTCCCAATTTTTGGGGGGCAAAATCAGAGTGCCTTTTTTTGAAAAGGGAACGTTCCCTTATCTGAATTATAAATGAACGCTTGGGAGACCCCTTCAGGTTGTATCATTCGGTTAGGGCGCGGTTTCTGTAGATCGGTTTAGGGGTAGGATCCGTTTTTAAGCAGGCAACCCTTTATCGTCAAACTTTCGCCAGAACAAAACAGCTTTGGATTGGGTGCGAGGTCCATAAGACTATTCACGTGATCAGTTAGGCGGCAAACCGACCTACGTGAACCACGCCCTTAATTTCTTCCCGAAGCCGTATCCTTGCGCGTACACGCTGGGCCCCCCCTCAACCAGCTCTCTCCATCATCCTGCCCTCAACACCGACTTTCCCGCCTTGCCATCCACCCGGGTTTCAGCCTAGTCCATTTGCAGGGGCTTCAAAAATAGCACTGGCCTCCCGCCTTGCCGTCAACGTCGGGGTTGGGTTTCAGCCCTGTCGAGCTGAGATCTCGCGATTGAGAGAGCTTCGGTAGTCCCATCAGCGATTCCGCATTTCGTTCCCCCATCCGCGCCTAAAGCGCGAAAAAAGATTCCCATCAGAAGTTTTCCGCCATGGCGCCGCCATGGCGTGGATCACGCCGAGCGTGACTCCACCCTGGGCGTTCCTCACCCACCAGCCATCAGAACCTCCATCGAAGCGCATCACAGCTTCCTCCGCTCCCTGCCTTCGTTGCATCGCCACGCCTTACCACGCATCACTGCTTCTCTCGCTGCGCTGGACAGAGTCTCTCACTCCCCACCCGGACTCGCTACGATTTCACGTTCACCATCGTCGATTTCCTCTCCTGTGGTTCTAAAGTCGCCGCTCGTATGAGGTAGCGCTTTGAGTCAGCGTTCCCCTTCGTCTAATATAGGCCATGGATCCCACTCGTGGAACGGACGCTCCTGTCGCTGCTCACAGTTCCTTTGATAAACTCCCTGACGATATACTTGTTCACGTATTTCGGTGCGTCGAACAAGGTTTAATCTCCTCACCACTGCAACCGCCGATGGCGTCAGCATCATCACCATCGGTATCTTCCAGCACCTCCTTCTTCTCCTTCTCCTCCTCCTCCTCTTCCTCCTCCCGAGGCACCCTCGCGCTCGTGAGTCGCCGGTGGTTTCGACTCGCGTACGGCACGATCACGTCGCTCGACCTCTCGCGCTGGCAGGGAATCTCCGCCTCGCAGTTCGTCAGCACCGTCAGCCTCGCGCCCAATCTCACGTCTCTTCAGGTCGCCCTTTCCGGCACAGACCTTATCACGGACGCTTTCATCGCGCTGATCGCACAAGTGTGTCCCCGCCTCGAGCGCCTATCGCTGTTCGACAACCTGCGCTATGGTGGTGCTGAGCACCGCGTGTGGACGTCCGACGGGCTCGACTCGCTCTTCCAGAGGTGCACGCTGCTGAAGGATCTCTCGCTTGCCTGCCCGCCCTCCGTCACCCATCTCCCTGCAAGCATTTCCCAACTGGCTGGACTCGAGCGGCTCCAGATATTCTCAAGGCTCATTGTCAACCTGCCAGAGGAGATCGGAGGGCTGCAGGCGCTGAAGGCCCTCCACGTGAACGCACCTCGTCTCACAGCTCTGCCCGACAGGCTTGGCGACCTTTCCAAGTTGCAGGAGCTGTCGCTCGAAGGCTGCTCGGATCTGACATCGGTACCTGAGGCAGTCGGGCAGCTCCCAAAGCTGCGTGCATTTCACATTGTGGATAACGGTTTCAGGGCTCTGGAGCTGCCAGCGTCCCTCACGCTACTGTCCTCTCTCGAGGAACTGGAGGTGGGCGTCCACCTCCAGCAGCTGCCGGAGGACTTCGGAAATCTGATTAATCTGCGAATGATGGAGCTGAGATGCCCTGAGCTCACCCACCTGCCCTCCTCTCTGCTGCAACTCTCGCTTCTTGAACGCCTTGTGATATCTGGAGGGCAGCAGATGGTTTCTCTGCCCGAGACCATAGGGCAGCTGCCAGCACTCAGGGAGCTCCGTATCTCCTGCTTGAGCAATCTCCAGACCCTTCCCGATTCCATTGGCCAGCTGCAGCAGCTGAGATCGCTCACAATCGATTGCTGTGGTTCGCTCCGCGTGCTGCCAGAGTCCCTGGTGCAGCTAAGTGCCTTGGAGACACTCGAGATTGTCTACTGCGAAAGCCTCTCCTCCCTCCCCGGAGGCATCCACCTCTTGACGAGTCTTCAGCAGCTGGATCTCTGCGAGTGCCCAAGAATCCGTGAGCTGCCTGACAGCATCTCCCTCTGCAAAGCCCTTGAGTGCGTTTCCATAGAAGATTGCCGCGCTCTCACAAACATTCCTCGAGGGATTCGGCACCGGGTTATTGTGGAACGCGAAGGGGAAACCATTGAGGATTGGTAGGATGGAGGATCGGATAAGGTTGAGCAGGGAGGCAGGCAGGGGGGAGGTGGTGGAGGCGGCAGGGTTCCTCAGAATGTGGTGCTGCAGTGGGTGGTGATGCTGCAGTGGATGGTGGGTGGTGCTGTCTACAGTCTACAGTTGTAAATCGTAGTTAGTTACAGAAATATTTCATTTCATTTGGTGCCTACACAATGGGATTCTCCTTGGTCTGTGTATGCCTTGCCTTACTGGATGCAGTGTACCTTGTGTCAAACATATCCTTGTACCGTATGTTCAGTAACGCCTACCAAGCCTACCGTAATCCCCCGGATATAACTGTCAACTTATACATATTATCTATGTAGAAGTTATAGGCTAGACTGAGGTATGCTTCTAGTGAGTACAACCAACTAGTATTTGTTCTAAGTTTCCACTTCTAGTCATCATTCGTTCTCACTTTAACATGGTATCACGCGTAGGTTAGCATCCCCCACCTACCGCTTCCGCCCGTACCCTAGCTAGGCCACGTCGCGCCTCCTAGCCCCGTCGAGCCTCCTAGCCACGTCGCCCCCCTCCTGGGCCACGTCGCGCCACCCTAGCCCCGTCGCGCCACCCTAGCCCTGTCGCGCCCCTCCTGGGCCCCGTCGCGCCACCTAGCCCCGTCGCGCCCCTTCTGGGCCCTGTCGCGCCGCCCTAGCCCCGTCGCGCCAACCTAGCCCCGTCGCGCCCCTCCTGGGCCCCGTCGCGCCTCCTAGTCCCGTCGCGCCCCTCCTGGGCCCCGTCGCGCCGCCCTAGCCCCGTCGCGCCCTACCTGGCCTCGTCGCGCCCGCTCGGCCTCGTCGCGCCCTGCCTGGCTCCGTCGCGCCCGCCTGGCCCCGTCGCGCCCTGCCTGGCCCCGTCGCGCCCTGCCTGGCCCCGTCGCACCCTGCCTGACCCCGTCGCGCCCGCTCGGCCCCGTCGCGCCCTGCCTGGCTCCGTCGCGCCCGCCTGGCCCCGTCGCGCCCTGCCTAGCCCCGTCGCGCCCTGCCTGGCCCCGTCGCGCCTGCCTGGCCCCGCCGCGCCTCCCTGGCCCTGCCGCGACTGCCTGGCCTCGCCGCGCCTGCCTGGCCCCGCTGCACCTGCCCGGCCCTGACGCGCCTGCCTGGCCCCGTCGCGCCCTGCCTGGCCCCGTCGCGCCTGCCTGGCCCCGTCGCGCCCGCCTGCCCCCGTCGCGCCCTGCCTGGCCCCGTCGCGCCTGCCTGGCCCCGTCGCGCCTGCCTGGCCCTCGCGCCCTGCCTGGCCCCGTCGCGCCTGCCTAGCCCCGTCGCGCCTGCCTGGCCCCGCCGCACCTGCTTGGCCCCGCTGCGCCTGTGTGGCCCCGCAGCGCCTCCCTGGCCCTGCCGCGCCTGCCTGGCCCCCGCCGCGCCTCCCTGGCCCCGCCGCGCCTGCCTGGCCCCGCCGCGCCTGCAAGGCCCTGCCGCGCCTGCCTGGCCCTGCCGCGCCTACCTGGCCCCGCCGCGCCTGCCTGGCCCCGCCGCGCCTGCCTGGCCCCGCCGCGCCTGCCTGGCCCCGCCGCACCTGCCTGGCCCCGCCAGCACCTGCCTGGCCCCACCGCACCTGCCTGGCCCCTTCGCCCCGACTCGTCCTGCCGTGCCGCCTCGGGCTCCGTCTCCTCTGCTCGCCCGTGCTGAGGCGCTTCGCGGCCGCCGTGCTAGAGGGGGCTGTCGCTGTGTTCCTGCGTCGCTGTGTTCCTGTGGAGCTGTGCCGCTGACCATGCACGATGGCGGACTTCGTGCTCCGACTGGACGCCGAGGGCCATGCGGTTGACTTCGCCGCCTGGCTCTCCGATCTCCGCCGCCACCTTACAGGTCAGCGCCAGGATGGCCACTCTTTGATTGTCCATGTCGACGGCTTGCTCCCCCGCCCCTCCGCACCTGCTCCCCTCCCTGCTGATCCCTCATCTGATGACCGTGAGACCTTCTCTACTGCTGCGCTTGCCCGTGCGGTCTGGGACTCCCGCGATGCAGTCGCTCAGGTTGCCATTAGCCACGCCCTCCCTGTCTCTGAGCGCTCACGTTTTGCTACTATTGAGACGGCCAAAGCTTACTTAGACGCTGTTATTGCCCGCTATTCCACACCCGCGTCTGCTTCTGCTGGTCGCCTGCTCTTCCCTATGCTTTTCCCAGACCTTGCAGCTTTCCCTACCGTCGCAGACTTTGCCACTCACCTGCGTGCCTTAGAGACCCGCTATCGCACTGCCAGCACTGCCGCCCAGCTCACTGCGCTCCCCCCCCCTTTCTGCATGACGCTCTATTTTATCGCCATGCGCCTGCCAGACCGCCTCGCTAGTGCTCGCGATCACTTTCTTAGCCAGCACCCGGGTGACCTCACTCTCCCTGCCTTTGTCGACACCCTTACCGAGATCGAGACTCGCCAGCGCACTATCGCTCAGTCGAGCGGTGCGCCGGCAGTTTCTATCTTTCACGGTTGTGCCCCCTCCCAGTGTGCGTTCACTGACGTTTCGGCTGCGGTCGCCTCGGCAGCCCCTCTCACCGAGACGGCTGGTGCGGTCCACCCGCAGCAGCGCTCGCGCCGCGGTGGCCGTGGTCGCCAGGGGGGTAGGGGTGGTGGTGGCAGTAGTGGTGGTGACGGTAGTCCGCCTGCGGGGACTACCACTGGTGGGCAGGAGCAGCAGCCCCAGTCGCAGTAGGAGCAGCCCCAGCCGCAGCCGCCGCCCCAGCAGCAAACACCGTCCCAGCAGCAGTCGCCGCAGCAGTGGGCCTGTCTCCCAATTGGTTGGCCCGGCACCTCCGCAGGTAGTGGTCGTGGTGGCGGCCCGCGCAGCTTGGCGTCTACCGGCGGCTCCGGTGCTGTCACCTGCCAGTACCAGCTTCAGACCAGGCCTCTTCGCGGCACTCTGTGCCGCCGCCTGCACCCGACCGCCCGCTGTTTCCGCCGCCTCGACGATCTCTTTCGTCGTCGCTTTGGCCCGGCCCCGGACCTCCCCGATTGGCACAGCCTGCTCCGTCAGGGCGTGCCGATCTTTGAGTTAGACATGGATCCGCTAGGTGCTGCTTTGCATGCTTTGTATTCTGACGCTTCTAGTTTTGCTGGATCTTATTACCTTGTGTACTCTAGTTTAGGTGTTGCACCACTGTGTAGCTTAGCCTCCCCTGCTGCGTCAGGCGTAGGACTGCCTAGGTTGCCTAGTCTAGTCGCTGCACCGGCTCCGCCCCCAGCCTCCGCCACTGCGTCGCTGTCCTTCACTCTCGACTCCGGTGCTTCTGCCTACTTCTTCCGCGACCGTTCCACGCTCACGCCGCTTGCTGCATCTGCTGTTGTCTCTCTCGCTTACCCCTCTGCGGGTCCTGTCGTCGCTCGCAGTTCTACGTCCCTTCCCTGTCCGGCAGTTCCCTCGGGCTCCCTTACTGGCCTCCACGTTCCCTCGTTCTCGAGGAACCTGGTTGGTGTCGGCTGTCTCCAGGACCTCGGCGTCACCACCACGTTCCCCGGGCACGAGCGGTTCGCTGTCTGTTCTGAGGCTGTCTCAAGTTCCCCCCTTGCGACGTTCCCCCGGGACCCGGTGTCCGGTCTGTTTACCCTAGACACCGCTTCCCCCCCGGTTGGTGTGTCCTCCCAGGTCGCTGCAGCTTGCTCGTGTCGGTCCCTCACTCACCCCTCCTTTCTCTGGCACCACCGCTTAGGTCACCCTGCTCTCCCGCGTCTGCGTCACATGTCCCAGCACGGTCTTGTCTTAAGTCTCCCTGCGTCGCTCCCTGCCCTTCCTCCCCCGACTGCGCCACCGTGCACGCCTTGCGTCGAGGGTCGGCTCCGCCGTGCTCCTTACTCCTCCTCGCTGCGTCCTGCTACTTCCCCCCTTCAGACCCTGCACCAAGACGTTTGGGGCCCTGCCCCGGTCCCCGGACCGCGCGGTGAGCGCTACTTCCTTGTGCTCGTCGACGACTACACGCGCTACACCACGGTGTTTCCCCTGGAGCGGAAGGCCGACGTGCCGACGTTCTTCTCCCGTGGGTTGTGGCTGCGCGTCTCCACTGCGGTCTCCCCGTGTTGTGTCTCCACTCCGACCGTGGCGGCGAGTTCGCCTCTGGTCGGCTTGGACAGTTCTGTCGTGCGGAGGGCATCACCCAGTCGTACACGTTGCCGGACTCGCCACAGCAGAATGGGGTTGCTGAGCGCCGCATCGGCTTGGTCATGGAGGTCGCCCGTACCTCCATGATCCATGGCGATGCCCCCCATTTTCTGTGGCTGTTCGCTGTTCGCTACGCTGCTCACCAGCTGTGGCCACGCTCCCAGCGGCCGCAGGTTTCGCCGACCCTCCTTTGGACCGGGTCCCCCGGTGCCGCGGCTGCGTTCCACGTCTGGGGCTGCCTTGCTCACGTTCGTGCCTCTGGCACGGACAAGCTCACTGCCCGCACTGTCCCCTGTGTCTTCCTCGGTTTCCCCCTGGACTCGTCTGACTGGCTTTTCTACCACCCGCCGTCTCACCGCTTCCTCCACTCTCATGACGTCACCTTTGACGAGTCCGTCTCCTTCTACCGCCGCTTCCCTCACCGAGGTCTCCCAGTTGCCCCCCCCCTGTTCCTTGCTCCCTCTCCCCCGGTAGCCCCTGCCCCGTCTGGTGTCTCTCACGTCACTCCCCTCCCGTCGGTTGTCCCCGTTGAGGAGTCTGCTGACTCTGGTGGTACCCCCAGTCCGTCCTTGCCGCACCCCCCTTCGCCGGTGCCTCCGCCCCCACTGTCGCAGTCGCCGACCCCGCTGCCGCCGCCGTCGCCGTCGCTGCCGCAGCCGCCGCAGCCGTCGCTGCCGCCGCCGCCGTCGCTGCCACAGCCGTCGCCGCTGTCGCCGCCGCCGCAGCTGTCACCGCCACTGCCGCCGCCGCTCTTGGCCCTTGGGGGTGCTGGTGTGGAGGAGGGTGTTCGTCCTGCGGCTTCTGGGGGTGCCGCTGGTGTTGGAGGGGGTTCTCGCTCTGGGGGTGTTGGTTCTAGGGGTGCTGCTGTTGAGTGTTCTGCCGACGGTCGTTCTGCCTCTGCTGGTCCGAGCATTCCGGCCCAGCCGTCGTCGCCGCCGCAGCAGCCGTCGCCGCCGGTCTCCGCTCTCCGCCTGCTCAGCCTTCCTTCTCCGAACCGCGCGCCGGTGTCTCCCCCACCGCCTGCTGACCTTCCTGTCTACGGTCCTGTGTTCCCGCCGCCGGACTCGTCTCCGGCCCGTCTTCCTCCTCGTTCCCCTCCTGTGTCTCCTCCGCTGTCCCCTGACCCTACACCTCCGTCTCACGTTTGGGCTCGCCG